GACAGATTGGTCTCTGAAATGTAAATGTGGAAATTCTGCTTTTTCTATAAATGTGTGCATCATTGTGCCAACTAAATTAGTAACGATCGTCTGGCTTGTACTATATCAGAACATCACACGGTAGATGTGGCCGTCTCCTATGTCGGGTCAAAGTTCATTTCTCAATGTGACTCCGGTCTCCGATCTCAAGCCACGGACAACCTATAGTCAGTCCATTGCCGGCTTCAATCATTCGCCGGCAGGATTTCAGGCATTTACCAGGCTACTGTTTCACTCACCAAGCTCGACTTGAATCGAGAAACGTTGCTGATCAGCTTCTCACCAAGCGACAATGAAGAAGATAATCGAATTGTGTTGCAGTTCAGAAGCAGTGGTGTTCAACACACTGCCCCCCGCCAGTCCCCGACAATCCGGTTTGATTCCTGACCATGCACAACACCATGAGCACGTGGTATCTGAACCTGTACTCAACCTGCTCTCGGTCAATTCAACCTAAACATTTATAACAGGAGTGGGGAGACAAAGCAGAATAGTGTACATTGTAAAGTGGCTTCCATGTGTGCTGTGCTGGCCATAATAGATGTTCACGAACAGCACTTTGCCCCAAGCCTCTAGTAGTCTATGGGCCAAAGCATAAATCGTTACATATGTATGTATGTATGTTGAACTTGTTTCGCACGGTACGTAGCCAACCGTGGTAACTTTAATCATACCGATTTATTTATGTGGCTGATAAGAGTTAATTATTGAATAACCCACTCATGTGAAACGGCTATCACGTTATTCACCGTTCTTTGTCATATAAATAAATGTGAGTATCTAACGTTATGCCAACTAGGTGGTACCAACACATAAAATATCTGGTCCTGGTTCATGTACTATCGGGTTAAAATGGGGTTTTACTATTACTGGATGAACGAATTAAGACAAAATATTTTGACATAAACCCATATTTCGATTTAAAGCTTTCATGACTGCAATGATTCATCTTCTTTGGTTCTTTCGGTAAAGTCACGTAGAATGAGAATAAAATAATAAATTGATAAAATAAAATAACACAATAATATTCTCACCAGAATATTATTGTGTTATTTTATTCTCACCAGAATATTATTGTGTTATTTTATTTTATCAATTTATTATTTTATTCTCATTCTACGTGACTTTACCGAAAGAACCAAAGAAGATAAACCCATATTGTTAAAATGCTTAGAATACTTGCTGTCCAAAATATGCGTTTAAAAAAAATATTTGCCTAAAATGTTAAACCCATGTCTTTTTTTTACTATCAGCATAAATGCAAAATGTATGAGCCGCCGAATGATGATCATTCATAATACAGTTATCACTTTATAATTGCAATTAATTTTCATTGCAAAGGAATATTACCATACTAATATGAATTCGTGTTTAAATAACATAATTTGTAAATATCTCCTTCATGTCACCACACCTGCTAACGCAACAAATTACTGGCAATGACCCAAAGCAAACAATGGAACCAATTCAGTGTGCGTTGTCCAAAAACCGAACGCATTTTGCAAAACAAATTTACGCAATTTATATGAAAATTTCCGACCTCGTCCAAATAATGCCAATTTTGGTGGCCAATTCTCATTTAAAATTCTGGTATGAATGAGATTATATGGGTTGTTTTTATAAACGTAAATACGCTCTGGTGTTTTAATATATTTTATTGCACGTGTTGTGATGGTTTATCCACTGCTGGATAAAGGCCTCCCCAAGAAACCGTCACTACCTCCCATGATACTCTTTGGGTCTTTACCGAAAGACCCAAAGAGTATGAATTCCTGCAGTCACACAAACTTTAAGTCAACACCTCCCATGATCTAACAATGTAATAATCCATTTAAAAACAATGCAATAATCCACCTTGCACCGCTCAATGAACTGATGTAATTGTTCAGTCTCCTCGGAGGACATCAGCTGGGATGCATTCTATTTTCTTGGCTCAAAAAAGTCAAAGTGATCTCATCAAAATTAACATTTAGGCAGTGCTCATCTCCTGTTTAAATGCATGAACCAGGAGTGGAAATGCCACATTACTATGGCAAGGGGAAAGTGTCTCCATAGGCCAACCACTTTTGATTCCCTGCAAAGTGGTGCTGATTTTGACCCCAGAGAGATGATGGGCTGAGCCAACCACCAACCAAGATTTGAATTCACAACCTTCGGTCATGATCCCTCCTAGCGACGTGTGATGCCCAAACCCACTTTGCTTCAAACATTGGATGATGAATTCACTTGCGCGTGTTCTCTAATCCGTGAGCTCTTTATGCCTCTCAGTGTAATTCTAAGCTGGCATCTCTCTATGCACCTTTGTGCACTATTCAGCTTTTGTCGTAGATTTTCGTTCGTCACCGACAATAGCAAATAGTACATGTTGAGTAAAGTGTTTTAGGTGCAGTCGGTATGTTCATTTTAAAGCCATTTAACCTGCTCCCTTAGCGTAAAGAAACAAGTTATATCCATCCATATTTGCCTTTGGGTTAGGCCAAGCAGTGTTGTGCCAACTTTCTTGTCAATAACCCTCCACCATCCGACTAGATTTGTCACGTTTACAAATATATCGCTGCATAAAAAATAAACACAATTTATAACGCGCGCATATTTCGCGCATCAGGTGCAACGTTCAAACGAAAAAACGGACGCGCGGAGTCAAGAGCTCAAAGTCCCTCGCATGCCAACACGAACGAGCGAGACAGCCTTGAGTTGCTGTTTGACGGTGGATGACAATTGGGATTCTGCCGCCTGTGTGCAAGTACATGGGAGAGAGTGCAACGATGGAGCAACGCCGCTCAGCCAGGATAGTCGGTCCGGGTTCTGGTTTTTTAGACGTTCTCCGCAGGGGTTTTGCGGCAGTTTGCTGCGGTCAGTCGAGTGAACATGATTGAGGAGGTATAGCGCAGGGCCTTGTGATTACGGCTCGATGACACAGGATGGCGATTTTACACTGGATCATGAAATTGATGGAGAGGCAGTGCAAATATATTTTTTTAGCTCAGCCTTGGAAGCTAGAAGGTCACATTTAATGTATCAATGTTGAACTTCTTTCGCACTGTACGTAGCCAACCGTGCGAATCGGAGGTGCGGGGGGGAAGGACAACAAACGAAGCACAAATATAATTTAATGGCAAAGCGGGTTGTTTTGGAACCGCTTAAATTTGTTGAGGTGGTTTTTTTCTGATGTCTCAGCAAGCATGATGCCGCAAGCCAGAGTACACTTGCTGTGGCTGCAGTCAGCGTTGGGCGGGATGTGCTACAAGGAAAAGCTTTGAGATGGCGTTGAGGACGAGATGATGCCAAGGATTGTCAGATGATCTCGGAGACCGATGATGGAGCCAGCGCTCAGTATTTTGTGAGCGAGTGACACCCTGGTGATCCGCTGCGTGCTGCCTAAGCACCTCCGATTTCCCCGCACCGCCGAATACCACGGTTGGCTACGGTGCGAAAGAAGTTCAACATACATAGTTTAACATGTAGGCTTTCGCGACCAATGCATACATAGGACATGGGCTACGGGTGTATCTGGGTTGAACAGGAGGTGATTTTACCAATAATTTGAGGTGCAATTTACGAGGTTGGATGGGCCGTGAGTGGAGGTTATAGTGGAATATGCGTTGGAAGGGGAGGGTAAATTACAAGGCATGACTACTATGGGGCCGTCCATAAATGACGTCACGCGATTTTGGCCGATTTTTGACCCCCCCTCCCCCCCTCGTCACACGGCGTCACAAAAAGTCAGAACCCCTCAAATATGACGTCACAACGCTCTGCCCCCCCCTCCCCAAAATATTTCCATTTTGAAAATAAAACATGCTTCAAGTCACTTGAAACTATTGTCATTGTAGTGCATAGTCTTGGTTCTTTCGGTAAAGTCACGTAGAAGGGAAACAATAAAATAATAAAAATATAAAACAATTATTGTAGTGCGTATTTAATGTGGCGCTGCACTCTGATGTTGTAGAAGAAAACACGTATTAAAAAGGAGGCGTTGGAAAGCTGAAATTTAGCATAAAATTCACTTGAAAATATTCAACGTCTAACTAAAACTGCAGATGTTCAGAATATTAGATGGAAATTCTCCTATAACTATAAAATATTACAAATAATTATAACTATGAAAGAAAATACTTGAAACTTTGTAGTAGAACGAAGCAAATTGGAGAGTACAATTATAACAATCACATATTAATTCGACAGAATGAAAAGCCCTGGTAGAATTATTAAAATCTAAATGTTTAACAACAATAATTACATTTTTTTACAAAATGTATCCTCCTCCATTCTCCCATGGAGAAGCAAAATGCTCCTTCATGGAGTAAATAAAAGGTGACCTTAGTAAATTTAAACAATCAAATAGTTAATAATGAAAATTAATCAAAATTAGTGTTGTTATAACAATTGTATTGTTTTTATATATTTAAAGTTGCGCATTTTAATGTGACGTCACATTTCTCACCCCATCCCCCTTTCCCCCTCGTCACACATCGTCACAAATGTCTGACCCCCCTCCCCCCACCAAAACCCACGGGGACCTGGTTACACCAAAATAAACCTACACCCTCCACCCAAAAAACAAAAGACCTTCCGTATTAATTGAACCGACTTGTAATCTGCTGGCGTTGATTCCCACATGGTCGATTCGATGCACGCATGGTGAGCATAATGAATCGACTTGTTTACATGTTGAATCGAATCGATTGGGATAGAGGCGGAGCATTGTGCGGCCGGGGTAAGGGGAGGGGGTTTGGAGATAAAGGGCGTGATCTAGACTAAGGGGCGGGGTGATGGCGGGGAGGTGGGGGTAGAGGGTGGGAACAACCCTGTGATGGGCGTGGGGCGACAATTGCCCCGTACCAAGCGGCGGGGTGGGGCGATGAAAGGAGTAGGAGGGACTAATGCAAGAGGCAGGGCTTGAGAATAGTTGGGGCGGGGTTAGATGATGGGGCGGGGTTAGATGAAGGGGCGGGGCTCCTGCTCCGGCTACCGCCGGCTCTACCCACAATGCTCTGCACACCCCCCCCCCCTTCGCTCGTAGCTTCGCCGCCATCTTCTCCACAACCGTCGTGTACAAGTAAATTTTACTTACCAGAGATACCTAGGCGACAGTATTCGCTTCGGCTGCACGTGTTTTTCTTTTTTTTACTTAGAATGCCATGCGACACAATTTGTCGTCGAACACAGCCCGCGGCCCATTAGGTTGGGCCTACCCCATTGGGCCGCACCCCTTCACTCCTGGCCGTTCCTGCCGGCTCGGGCTCCGCAATCCCCGCGGTGCTTCTAGGCGAATACGAGGGCTCGGCCTAGCTCTGTGGCGTGCGTGGACAGCGGCCGCGCGGCGTCTTAGAGCGAAACTGGGCGAGGTAATTGAACTTGTTTTAAAAATTAAACACTTGGCTTCGCAAAAAGGGGCTTTTACGGTATTCATTTCAGATAGCACGTTTTATATGAACAGCTGGGAGGTGCTTGGAAGAAGTGTTGCCATTGTCTCGCGAGACTGGCCCTGCCAAGTGTTGCAATAATAACGTGCTATTGTTTTGGAAGGTTGCAGTGTTATATTTCGATATATTCTTAAATTATAAACCTGCACGTGTATTTTCCTTAAATCCCCTGCTGGATTTTGGTTGTGGGATTTCACGCCGACATCGGTGCGATGGATAAACGCGGGAGCATTGAAGTACAGCACAACATTGTATTTTGGTGCATTTCCCTCCGGGCCCACCACGTAACCATGCTAGCCCTTTGACATTTGTTTGCGCGTCCTAGTCTCCTAGGTTCAATTCTGCGTGGCTTACGAAAAGCGACGAGGCCGGGCACATCTCGGTTGATTTGGCCAAAGGGCCAACATTAAGGCGTTACATAAACGTGTTAAATGATGCAATGCATACTATTTAAAAGTATTGAGGTGTTGCTATTATCAGTGTTACATCGTTGGATTGGCGTTCCATTGTTAAAATTGACACCAGACGTGATCATGTGCTTGCTGTTTAAGCACCAAATACTGTATGCACATTTTTATGTTTCCGCCAACCACCCCTTGCCATGGGAACGTAGAATTATTCGCCAACAGCTCATGGCCTTCCAAGAGGTCAGATAGGTGACACCCCATTTATTGCTTTTTTGAGTAGGGAGACACATTGGCAGAGTGGCTATGAAGACGCACTTGTGGTTAACCGGTAGTCCCATACCGTAGGCACTTTGAATGAAATGCCTTGCCCTCAATGCATCTGCACTGTATTCACGTGAAACGGCTTGAAATACAGTAATATCGTAAAATAACACGTCAGCATCGCTATTTTCTACACCTCGCGGTGAGGCGATGGACCCAGGCGTTATCACCCGCTATAGGACAGCAACTGGCGTCCGTCTCTTGGCCCACCCCTTCACTCATTTCTGCCATTCTGTCACGGGGCTTCTTCATTGGTTTTTCTCTCCAGCACTCTATAGAGTGGGGTTTATTTATTTATTTTCTGTTTCTAGCTCTAGCAATAGCAATGATAAAACATCACATTCTACATGTAGCCTTACTTAAATCGTGATGTTTTCACCTGCTTATTCAGCTCGCCAATTGCTGCCTAGATTATTAACGCAGCCGCATCGCCTTTTCAAACTTAGTTTCAGGAGATCGGCATTATGCCTGGTGTGGGGTGCCTTGTGGTCCTGTTCCAATCAGAAACCAATATGCCAGACTCCTACAACTAAGTTTCAAGTCACTGGACCAGAAAATGTGAACATAAATGTTCCCAGTGCCTTCAGGGCTTTTGAATACATGCGCAAACGTCTATATTTTCACCGTTTTGTTTAAAAGCAGTCATGTCATGTTTCCATGGTTTTAATGCAGTATAGATTATTTATAAACAGATTAGTGTGATTAAGCGTACGATTCTTTGGTCATTATTTCCTATTTACAGTTCTCCATTACTGTATGATTCCAAAGTAACTTGGTTGTTGTGTTGCATGCTTATAATCCACACTTTCAAGGTAGGGTAGGCTAATTATCCAAATAGCCACATATAACAACATTATTCCCCTAGGGCTATAACGTGGTTAGTGAATGGTATTAGACTTTTCTGCACGTTTTTGGTTGTATGAGTTTTTTTGTGACCTCCAGCTTTCTCCATAAATGAAAGTAACCACGAAGAATTGTGCAAACTCGCCAAGTAGAACTAGCCAGAAAATAACATTAATACTCATTGAGGCGTTTCTCTCCCGATAAAGGACATTTTTATTTTCACCCTAAATTCATACTTGAAAGTGTCTACCTGCTCATGAGTAATGGGCCATTGCTCACTTACGATGGCAATCCTGAGCCAGTCATCTCAATTCTAGTTCTGGGCAGAGATCAATATATTCCTAGGACATAATCAATTTGCCAAACCAAGTACTAGTACTCATTTGCCTAGGACCAATTCAACCTGAATAAAAAACGATTTTCAGATTTCATAATTGGAATAGTACTTGAAAGCGAGACTGCCTTGGAATACCAGGTGGTGTATGCTTGGGCTGCGAGGAGTTGAAAGTACAATGGATTTTGATTCTATCTTCCTGAACTTGGAATGTTAAATATCTCAATGCAGAACCATCATGAAAGTCTTCAGACTCACTTATGATCTCTGGTTTTTTTTATCAGTTTGCTGCGATAAGGCCTCAACACGCTTTGTCGGTTATGGGGTTTTTTGTTATTATACTCTGTACTTGTTTGCGCATGTTGTTCAGTGGCAAAATGCAGGGCATTTGTTTTCTAATTAGATCAATTACAACGGGGTGATGGTTTAAATCGACCATGTAGTTTGCAACTTTGCAATTGAGTCAAAATTTCTACCTTACAAGTTGGCATGACTGAAGTACCACACGTGTCAGTTGTTTGAAATGATTTCTTAACACCCGTGTTTCAGGGATGTCGGCTGAAGACTTTGAATTGGAGAAGCCCGGTTCGCAGCGCCTGCGTAGGAGGCGGGCAACCGATGACTGGGATAGGTGAGTGTCTTTGAGGACTGTCAATGGGTTCGAGCTCCAGCTACTGTGAGTTTATTATGCTGGGTGCATGGTGACAATTGGCAAGTGTTGGTTATTGCGCTGAACTGTAGACACAGCAGTTTGGGTTGGAAATAAAACAATGATTTTTTTCACTTTGGTTTGTTTTAGCATGTCTACGTTTGACTATTATAATACATGTGGCATGCAATGTTTTGAAGGCTAATGGTCTGCGTTTTGTTTTCAGTGATGAACTATTGAGCGATGAAGAGACATTTAATACTAATGTGAGTATCCGCTAATCGAATAAACAACCCAAAAAGAGCACACACCTTCTGTCTTGCAGACATTTTCCTTGGCTATGTATTCTACTTTGTCAGACACCAGATTGCAGCTTTGTTCAAGAGAAAAAATAGCATTACAGGCAGTCCCTGCTTTTACGACAATCTGTTCCTGGAAACCCCGTCGTAAATCGGTTTGTCATAAATCAGACTCTATTTTCCCATAGACAGTAGAAATGGTTAAAACATCACTTTCCGGTGTGTTTTTCCTTTTTTCAGCCATATTTAACAGGGTTTAATTGGTAAAAATCCAAGTCGCATCGGAAAAATGTGTTTGGAATCATGTCGAAAGATGCATTGTATATCAAGTTTCTACGCTGTGAGCGGATTCACAGTGTCAATTAAATGTCGTATATGTGGATTGTTATAACCTGAAGACCTGAAATAAGACTTGATTTCTTCAAAATATACATAGAGATGCAATACTTTTTATGTTTCTCTCATAGAAACCGCATTACATGTGGTACATGGAATGTTTGCCCACATAATTTCGAGTGCATTCTGTACGAACGCAAAGTCACATCCTATCTCCGCATTGAATGAAGAATAATACGTAAATGCCATCTCGTATGTTTTTTTTTTAAGGGCCCGGCAGGATTACTGGGAAGTAATGATGAGGAGCTCAATGAAGATCTGCTCTTGGAGAGTGATGAAGATGCTGAGTTCAAGGGGTGAGTCGTTTTCACCACCTTAAAATCATTTAATGCTGTGTTGTTCATTCATGTACTCTGGGTATTTCTGTGGTGTTAATTTTTACTGCACTTTAATTATTGTGCTGGTCTTGGTCACTTTCACGTAAAGAGTAATTTTCTGATGAATTGAGCATGGAATGGTGTTCTTCTCTGTGAGTGCTGTTAAATTGGCAGACATTACACTTCACTATGGCAGTAGCATTCTCTATTTTGAATAATGACTTAATCAGAATTAAGAGTTACATTATAATGTTAGGCCGAATGATAATGGTTTTTGTTGGGAACAAGATTCACGTCTTGCAGACACTCGACAGAATGTAGAGTAGCAGACATTGAGATCACTTGTGCACCATTTGAACAGGTCGTTGATCTTTTCATGGAAATAACTAGGGCTCAATATGAAAAACATATTTGATTTGTCAGTTCAGATTATGAGTTACAAACAGCATTGAATGTGATCGGAAGTTAATTTAAATTACACCAAAGATATTCTTTTGGTTATATCTTAACAAGTGTTAATTAACTCCTATAAATTTCCTTGAAATAAATTAACACTGATCAATTATGCTTCATTATGCCAATAGAAGGTAGCACAGAAAGCTAGGTGTTGTATATTTGTATGGATATTTAAGTGTCATTGAGGGTTTGTGTATTTACACCAGGTGCTCCAGATTACTATCACATATAAAACACATTGTTTACTCATGTTAAACATTAAATTATGATTTCATTTGTTTAGGGTGTGTTAAAAAAGTGAGTTACATTAACAGGCTAAATGTCTCACTAACACAGCCACCGTGCTCGTTTTCCTCGATGTGGCGGTGGCTTTCGTTTTTCTTACATTGAGATGCTAATCTCTCGCGATACAATGGCCACCTCCACAGCTTCGTCGTCGTGGAGGTAGCTCAGCTCACCGATCTTACATTTACATAAAAATTTCATCTCTGACCCCGCCCACTTCGCTTATGACCCTTGAGCTACACCCATCTCAAACCTTTTATAACATCCTGCCTCAGCAGCTCTCCTGCTATATTTGTTCACCTGATGATGATTGCTTGTGTTGCGATTGAAACGTCGTGATATTTTTATTCTTTTTCTATCTACGTGGTTTTACCGAAAGACCCAAAGAATATGAATATAAAAAAAAGTATCAATCAGATCCCAAACAATGCAGATTTATTGGTTGAGGATAATTTTTTTATTTAAACCTAGCCACAATATTGTATAAATATAGCTGAACCTTGTTTTTTAGTACATAAACCAGACACCCAGAGAAAACCTTTGCTATGAGGGGATAAAGCTAAAAAGCTCTGGATAAGTCGGCAACATACCGCTCTTGCCTTCTGTAGGCCATCTGAAATCCTCTATGCATGATTATGTAAGCATAGTCCCTCCCAACCCTGCTTCCTTAGTGGTGCATTACAGTGAAATATGACATTTAACTATCTTAAATGTATCCTTGGAGGTCATGGGTGCATTACAAAATCCTGAGATTAACATTTACACACTTTGTTTCTCATCGGGCTGTCACTCTCAATACAATACTGTAATCCTGTATTGCTTATCACAAGATGACTTCTTTCAATGAGGATTTCCACATAATGTTCAATTTGTTCTGCATAATCTCATTATAAAGATTGCATTGGGGGATTATATCACTCAATTTTTTTTATATATGTAATGTGCCTCCTTTTCATAGCGGAAAATCCTCGTACTACAGAAAACATTAAATGACACCACATGCAGTTCTGCCATGTTTGTTGTAGGAGCTGTGAATGTCCCTTTACTGGGCAATATTTCTTTAAAAAAAATTTTTTTTCCCGTATTTAAATTAATTAGATGCAGATGATATTGGAGATTAACTTTGTACAATGTGTGGCCTTTCACCTCGGTAAGAACGTGCCTTTTGGTGGTGCATGGCACAGGAGGTAAGGGTTTGGCAAACTTGGAGGATGCAATGGATAAGGGAGATGAGTTATGCATGGCCTGTAACCTTTTACCTCGGTCAAAACATGGTAGTGAATGATGATAACTGGTGTGCTGCCGAGCAGGTTCAGTATGGCCTTGTGCATGTCGCTCATGCAGTTGCTTAATTAGGCACTATAGTTTAGACAAACAGTAAAAGGCATGATGGGTGTGGAGGCTGACATGAATGTTTGGATAAGGAGGTTGCTGTGTTGGGTGGGAAGGTGAATATGGTGAGTCTTTTGAGTGGTCTTTATGAAAGGGATGCTGGTGATGATCATGTAAGTGTCTCTTGCTTAACCAACTATCAATGTCTCTAAATTGAAATTGTTCTTACATCATGTGTTTTGCTTTTGATCTAATTCCAGATTTTTGATGTATATGTCAATGCAGACAATATGCATTGATGATACTTATTTAACATTGCTGTATTGCTTTTCATTATCAAATAAACATTTACACAACCACTCTTTCCTGATCTCACTTGCCTCTTTAAGTTTGTCATTTTAATCTATCTGCTCAATAATTGCTCAGGGTTTATATACTCTGTGAGTTTTTCCAATTGTGTCCCTCCAACAATATTTCCATTTGCCCACTGAACTGGCACGTAACTTAACATTTCTAATTTATATTTAGCCCAACTGGGCAACCTTCTTAAGTGTAATTCACTTATTTAATATAACAAATTTCTATTGTTTTTTATAAGACTGTCAACAGGTGGTTAATACTTTCTCCATTCATATTTATTTGTCTGCTATACAATTTTTGATGCACTGGATGAATCTGACCACTTTCCCCATCCATCTTGTGGAGTAGATGCTTTAACACGTGCAGCAGTCTTGACAGCAATGGCCTCACTGAAGCTCAGCTTTCTGTTGAACACCCAGAGAGAGAGACACTTACCTTAGAGACTTGTGTAAAATAAAAGCTATTTGTTTTTTTGTTTGTATAGAAAAGCCTCTGGAAGTTATTGATTGGGAGGAGAGCCTTTGCTGTTATGGGGAATGTTCAGCAGACTGCATATAGTTCAATCTTGATGTGAAGTTTTCGTGACTGCAGGAATCCATACTCTTCGGTTCTTTCGGTAAAGTCACGTAGGTAGAAAAATAAATGATTATTCACGACATTTCGATCGCAACACAAGCAATCGTCGTCAGGTGGAAAGATACAGCAGTAGAACTGTTGAACAGGAAAGGACTGCTGCAACAAGAGGTTATATATAGGTTTGAGGTGGGTGTCACCCAAGGGTAAGTAGGCGGGGTCAGAGATGGAAAGGAGTCCCGTCGCCGCATGCACAACAGCTGCGTTAAAGGGAGAGATTGGCATGTCAATGTAAACGAGTTTAATGGGAAGATAGCATGTCTGTGCCAGAGGACCGGGCATAGCGCCACCTCGTGGGCAACACAAGCAGCGGCTTTGGCTGCTGCACAGAGACCAAGCGTATCAACGCAAGAGAACTACCGTAACGGTGGCCGTGCCAGTGAGACATATAGCCTATTAAACAGCAAGAGCGACCGTTATATCGAGTCAAAAGGGAGCAGCCATCGCTATGTTAGTGCGACCTTAGTCTGTTAATGTAAAGACATTTAACAAGGTGATGTAATTTAGAGAGTCGGAAATAACTGCTAAACAATGGCAGGAAGAATGGAAACATCACAGCAAGTCATAACTTTACCTGGTGAATAACATCCTTCCAATGATTGCTCAGTTTGTACCCATCTTCTCGGTTAAAATTGTCTGTGTTTATATATCTGGAAGCTTCATGGACTAATATTTGATGGTAGCCCGAAGGTTTGCAGAGTACCTTGGTCTCGGAAAAAAACAATATCGCGTGAACCCACCGCTTTAAAACAGTAATCAGCCACGGCAGAGGTATTGGTTCTGCCGTGTTTCAAATCTGCCTTCTGTTCGCGAACACGGTCCGAGACATGTCGTTTTGTTTCCCCGATGTAACTGCTACCGCAGACACAACTTAGTCTGTAGACACCAGGGTCTTGCATGTCAGGAATCACATCCTGCATAGATGGGATCAAATCACGGATTTTGTGTACTGTGTTGATATCGAACCTGGATCTTGTGTTTGTTCAGGATTTTGGAAATATTTTTGGTAGCAACTGCTGTGTATGGCAAGGTGATGCTTTTGATTGGGTCCTCAGATGGTTCTCTCCCCATGGTTGGGGTTATTACAGCTTTGCAGATTGTGCGGTTTGAATATCCATTCATCTTAAGGGCTTGGTGTACGTGCTCCAGCTCACTGGCTAGGTGTTGCTGGTCGGGGATGCGACGTGCCCTATGGTGTAGTGTTTTGATGAGGGAGTTCTTCTGGGCTGGATGGTGGTTGGAATCAAGCTTTAGATAGGAATCCATGTGGGTGGCTTTCCTGTAGACAGAATGTTCCAACGAGCCATCAGGTCTCTTCTCGATCAAAACATCCAGGAATGGTAGCTTGCCATCATTTTCTATTTCCATGGTGAATTTGATGGATGGGTGTATGAAATTGATGTGGTTGAAAAATTGGTCCAGTGCTGTCTGGCCATGTGGCCAGATGACGAACGTGTCATCTACGAATCTTTTCCACATGAAAGGACGTAGGGTGGATGTCTGGATGGCATCTGTCTCAAATTTCTCCATGAAAACATTCGCTACCACTGGCGACAAGGGAGAACCCATAGGGATACCTTTATTTTGTTTGTAGAATGTACCATTCCAGGTGAAGTAAGTATTGGTGAGGCAGTGCCTTACCAAACTTGGTACTCCGGATTCAGTCCCTGTTGGACTAAGTCTTCAATGATTGCAATGGTGTCAGGTGAACAGAGAAACTACATCGAAACTGACAAGCAAATCATCTGGAGACAGTGAGATGTCCTTGATTAGAGCAACCAAGTGAGCTGAGTTAAGTACAGCTGAGGTGGTCAGCCCCGTGAATGGAAGCAGGGTCTCAGAAATCGGGCCAGTTTGTAGGTGGGTGAGTTAATGGTGGAGCTGATAGGACGGAGTGGAGTACCTTCTTTATG